AAAAAAAAAAAAAAAAAGAAAAAAAACTCTATAAATCTAAAAGGTTAGAAATAATGCAAAATATTCTGACCACAATGGAATGAAATTAGAAATCAGGAACAGAAAGAAAGTTGGGAAATTCACGACTATGTGAACACTAAATAATGCATGTCTAAACAACCAATGGGTCAAAGAAGAAATCAAAAAGGAAATGAGAAAACACTTTGAGATGGCTGGGCATGGTGGCTCATGGCTGTAATTCTAGCACTTTGGGAGGCCGAGGCAAGAGGATCACTTGAGCCCAGGAGTTCAAGACTAGCCTGGAAAACAAAGTGAGACCCCATCTTTACAAAAAAATTATTTTAAAAATAAGCCTGGGCCAGCCTCAGTGGCTCAGCCTGTAATCCCAGCACTTTGGGAGGCCTAGGCAAGTGGATTGCCTGAGCCTGCGGGTTCGAGATTTACCTGGGCAACTTGGCGAGACCTTGTCTCTACAATACATCAAAAATTAGCCACACGTGGTAGTGCACACCTGTAGTTCAGCTACTTGGAAGGCTGAGATGGAAAGATTGCTGGAGTCCAGCAGGTTGAGGCTGCGGTGGCCGGGAGCATGCCACTTCACACCAGCCTGGGCTACAGAGTGTGACTCCAACTCAAAAAAATAAATAAAAATAAATTTTTAAAAAGTTTCAGAGGGGGCACTGTAATTTAAGAGCTGGGGTGACCATAGCGAAGTACAATACATATAAGATCATGTAAATTTTTAATTACTACCCTTTCTTAAGAAAGGTTGTACTCATCCAGGGCACATGGTGTGTGCGGAACTTAGATGAGGGAAGAAACGGTCAGAGTACAACATTTACTTGCATGTTCCTGGCTCTGTCTGTTGACTAGATTATCTAAACAGTAGACAGGAAGGAACATTATGATCTTTTAGCCTCTTAGTTAGTAAACTTCCATAAAATAAATAGGGCACAGCTTTGTCATAGCTTTAATCCACTGAACGAATATGGTAATTCAACTACCTCTTTATCTGATTCTACTTTCCAAGAAGCCTTCCAGTGATAATTTGGTTTTCCATTTGCATATGCAGAACAATACATGTACTGTGGTAAGGCTTCATTTTCCTATAAAATAAAACCACAGCCCAGCAGGTCAACGCTGGGGTAGCTGTGAGTGTGCCACTGCCCTCCAACCTCAGAGACAGAGTGGGACTCCAACTCAAAAAACAAAAAAACCCACAAAAATATGGAGATTTTTTTTTTTAATTGGGGTGACCAGCTAGAAATACCAAGGCATCTGGGAGGCTCAATAAAGATAATACACTTCACAATAAATACATCACATACATGTGGTGACTCACAAGTATACCACATGTAATGAAAATGAAAAAGCTGAGAGAGCCACAGTAAGATTAGCAGGCAGGTATGCACATGGCTACCTTCTCAGTGATGCCATTGAACTTGGCCAGGATGTTGAAGAGCGGCACCTGGGGGATGATAAGCTGCTCCTTCTCATCCTTGTAGAGGGGTGCAGTAGGAAGGTCCAGCGTCAGGTACATGAAAGTGGACTCTACCATCGTTTCCTGGTACTCATCATTGTGGAGCAGCTGCTCCTTTTCTTCCGCTGGCTAGAAAGACGAGAAAGGAAAACGGGAAGGAGCTCATGTGAGCCGCACCCAGACCAACACAGAGAAAAATGACGCTTCTGTTATGGCAACACTGTCTTCATCTGAAGGCAATGAAGAGAGGTGCCTGAGAGACTGGGCAGTTTCCCATGCAGCAGCACCACCCGGTTAGATTAATTTAAGAACTAGTGGGTTTCCTTCGTCAAAGAGATTCTGCTTATATCCCAGATTATCTGAGACGCTCTCAGGTGATCTAGAATGCTTGGCAGCTGAGCTTCTGAAAAAACACACCAGCACCTCCCAGTGGCCAGATCACTTAAGCCAGCAAACCACAACCAACCACTAACTTCGGGACAAACAGCACCGGACAGGGGCTGTTGGGAGTTGCCACTAGGCAGGAGCTTTGTTGAACCTCTTCACGGGGCAGGCAGCCTTGCCAGTTCTCCACGCATCTCTTCATCTCCCCAAATGCCCTCATGCAACATAAACTGGACCAAGACTCCAGATTCGACTAACTCACCAGATCAGGGTGGGGGAGTTTTTTTGTGAAGATCCTCATGGATCCCTGGAAAACATCAGTCACAATAGCTGCACAAACAGAAAGCAAAATACAAATTTGGTGAGACTGGAGAACATGCCCAAAATATATTCCCAACTTCCAAAGTTCTGAAATTAACCAGCATCTTCTGACAAAAGACCCAGAGCTCTCACTAAACACCGAAGTCTCCCTTTGTAATATATACCACCATGGCACCTTTATAATTATTTGTGTAAACAATTATTCTATATCTCTTCCACAAGTCATCTTTTGTCTCTCCACACACAGTCTGGCTCATAAGAGAAAAAGGGTTTTTGAAATGAATGAATGATTTACAGAGCCTAAAGAAACATCAATCACAAAAAAAACTCACAAGCAAAACAGGGCACAACCAAGCAAGTTCCCATAACCACATGCTACCTGCAGAGGGAGAAATGCCCAGCCTGCATTGGACACAAAAGGAAAACAAAAGACTAGGAGATGAACCAGAACAGAATCAAAGCAATGAGACAGAAAGCACAACCAGGTTCTGGAATCCTGACAGGACGCAAGTGGGAGAACTCACAGGGTTAGCACAGCTTAAAGAGGGGACAGGGCTGGCTAGTGGAAAGACCACCAGGCTACAATCCCACATCAAGACACCATCAAGAGCTGGGTATGGTGGCTCATATGGCTCATACCTGTAATTCCAGCACTTTGGAAAGTAGAGGCAAGAATGCCCTGAGCCCAGGGGTTCAAGACCAGCCTGGGCAACTTGGCAAGACCTCGTCTCTACAGTTAAAAAAATAAAATTAGCTGGGCGTGGTGGCACATGCCTGTAGTTTCAGCTACTTGGAAGGCTGAGGAAAAAGGATCGCCTGATCACAGCAGGCCAAGGCTGTGGTGGCTGTCAGGGTAGCCACTGCAATCCAGCCAGGGCAACAGAGTAAGATTCCAATTTTAAAAAAAAAAGGCACTAACAAGGACATCAGAACACAGACAAGAAGAAAACTGCATCAGGCCTCCAAAGTGACTCACCTAGCTATGCAGTCTAGAAGCCAATAGCTATAATGAGCATTCATGAAAAAGAGCTAACTACTGTTAAGCCAATACGGATGCTGAAGAAAAGAGGGACTCCACGTCTAAGAATCCATAGACAACCAGCCTCATCCCTCTAAGTACAGAAACATGGTGAGGAACTAGCTTTTAGGCTGCTGTAACCTTCAACCTTCCAGTCAGGCAAACCACTCTGAGTCCTCATATTACCTCTTGCAGTGGGAACAGACTAGAAGTCTACAACATGCTGCCCAGTCCGTTGGTTTGAAATTGGATCAGGACTTCTAGGGCACAATTGTATCTACTCTGCATATTAAAAACACTACTGAGCCGGGCTCGGTGGCTCAGGCTGTAATCCCATGCTTTGGGAGGCTGAGGTGAGTGGACTGCCTGAGCCTGCGGATTCGAGACCCGCATGGGCAACTTGGCGAGACCTCATCTCTACAATAAATTTTTTTTAAAAATCAGCCAGGCATGGTAGCGTGTGCCTGTAATTCCAGCTACTCGGAAGGCAGAAGGATCACTGGAGAGCCCAGCAAGTTGAGGCTGCAGTGGTACTCCAGTCTGGGCGACAGAGTGAGACTCCAACTCAAAAAAAAAAAAAACCACTGGAGCCAGTGATTACAATGACTCACACCTGTAATCCCAACACTTTGGGGAGCCAACAGAGGAGGATCACTGGAGACCAGGAATTCATTACCAGCCTGGGCAACATAGTGAAACCTTGTCTCCCCCAAAAATTAAAAAATTAGCCAGGTGTGGTGGCATACACCTGTAGTCCTAGCTACTTGAGAGGCTGAGGCAGGAGGACTGCTTGAATCCAGGAGCTTGAGATTGTGGTGAACCATGATCATGCCACTGCACTCCGGTCTGGGTGGTTGACCAGGACTCCGTCACTCAAAAAAAAAAAAAAAAGAAAAAGACAAATGTGGGAATATTACCACATTCCAGCAAAACATATGGAAGAGGCTATCTAGGAAGAAAATTTAGCCTGTGTTGCCACAGATACTACCTCTCCCAGATGAAGATTTAAGAACAAAAGGATGGGAAGTTGCAAGGTTTCTTCAAAGGGAGCAAGAGAGTTCCTTTGTATGAGTAACATGACTTACTCTTCTTTTTCTTCTTTGTGCCCCCCAGAGCTGAGTGCAGAGCATTCAGAAACCAAGACAGAAAGTCGACTCCATCCCCTGGAAAAAAGAAAGGTGAGCATGTTGAAACTGAGAGGGATCAGAGTAGCCCAAAATACGCGCTGGTCGGCATGCCTGGTCTTCCTCCTTCCCCTCTGGCCATGTCATCCCATCCCACACCTGTGCATCCTCCTATCTGATCATGAAATGCTGGCACTCCTCAAGGTCAAGCACATACTCCTCCAACCTTTACTCTCTCCCCCTAGGCTCTCTGATTCACAGCAGAACATATCTCGTCACCTAGTGACAAACAAAACAAATGAATGCTGACCTCTTAAGACCTACTTCTCAGCAGGGCTCAGTGGCTCAGCCTGTAATCCCGCACTTTGGGAGGCTGAGGTAAGTGGATTGCCTGAGCCCGCGGGTTCAAGACCTGCCTGGGCAACTTGGCGAGACTTCATCTCCACAATCAATCAAAAAAATTAGCCGGGTATGGTAGCGCACGACTGTAGTTCCAGCTACTTGGAAGGCTGAGGCGGAAGGATCACCGGAGCCCAGCAGGTCAAGGCTGTGGTGGCCGGGAGCGGCCACCGCACTCCAGTCTGGGCAACAGAGTGAGACTACAAAAAAAAAAGACCTACTTCTCTAGGGTAAGCTCAGACTTCCTTCCTCCCTTCTCTAGCTCACAAAGATTCCAGTCCTGCAGGAAGGTGACTTTTCCTAGCACCAGGACCAAAAAGGCATTTAGGGGTGTCTAATCCAAGGGATTCTGGGAAGAAGCAAACAGGCAATACTCCTGATCCATAAGAATGCTATCTAAGGAAACTGCCACCCAGGAATTTCTGGATAATGGCTTTCTCACTAAGATTTGCTTCTGTTTACTTCCGTTTTGCTCACCCAATTAAAATCTCAAAGACTATCTCGTATCTTCCTTAACCTCATTTTCCTAATCGAAAAGGACTGAGACTCCAACTCAAAAAAAAAAAAAAAAAGAAAGAAAGAAAGAAAGAAAAGGACTGACAACTCCACAGAATACTTTTTTATTACCCTCACACAGGATGCATGGAATGTGACAACAGGAACCTCTTAGCACATAGAAACACTAGGCAGCTGATAATTTGCTAGGTCTCAGGACTGAGAAAAGTGAGTCTATGTGACACACAACTATGATACCCAACAGTGGCTATGACAGGAAGAACTGGATACGTTTATTCTTAGGATACTCTGATTTTTCTGCAACTCTACAACGAATTATGCTATCGCTTTCCAGTGCTGTCGAAAGTTGAGATGACCCAATATTTACCTTCAGGCCAGGCGTCATCTATGAAACCCTGTGAATGTGGACACAATCATCCATCGATGGCCCACAAAATATTCACTCTTAGCTGGATACAGTGGCTCAGCCTGTCATTACAGCACTTTGGGAGGTGAAGGCAAGGATTTCCTGAGCCCAGGGACTTGAGATCAGCCTGGCCAACATGGTGAGACCTCTTCTCCACAATAAACCAAAAAATTAACCAAGTGTGGTGGTTTCGGTTACTTGGAAGGCTGAGGCAGAAGGATCGCCTGAGCCCAGCAGGTCAAGGCTGGGATAGCTGGCAGCGTGCCACTGCACTCCAGCCTGGGTGACAGAGTGACTCTGGGGGAAAAAAAATCATTCTCAACAGAAATCTCATACCTTGATGCAGTCTTAATATAAAAACCTGGGACCTCAGATAGAAAGTTGATCCAGAAACAAAAATGTATCATTAAACAGAAGCCACCCTATCATCTTAACTGTTGGGAATTCAATGGTCCTACATAGCACAATCAGGCTGTCCCTTGCTCAGAAGGGTGAGGTGCTCAGATTAAGATTTACTGGCCATTTTGTAAACTACTAAACCATCGATAAGCCATACTCAAATAGCTTAATAACTTCTGTTCACTTGAGAATAAATCATGGGGCTTCTGTTCAATATGTATTATCCATTCCAAAGTGTATGTTATTTCCTACTATCGTAAAGCCCCAAGGGCCCCACTCCTTACCTGCTCTGATTCCTTTTTTCTCATTAAAACAAGCAAATAAACAAACAAAAAGTCACTACTGAACTTTCCTTCCAAGTACCTCCTCATTAAGTACCAGAGACTCTTTTTTTTTTTTGAGTTGGAGTCTCACTCTGCTGCTCAGGCTTAGAGTACAGTGGCATGCTCACAGCCACCGCAGCCTCGAGCTGCTAGGCTCAGGCGAACCTTCCGCCTCAGTCTTCCAAGTAGCTGGAACTATAGGTACATGCTACCACGCCCAGCTTATTTTTTTATTTATTGTAGAGATGAGGTTTAACCAAGTTGCTCAGGCTGGTCTCAAACCCCTGAGCTCAGGCAATCCTCTCACTTTGGCCTCCCAAAGTGCTGGGATTATAGGCTTGAGCCACCATGCCCAGCCTCTTTTTTAAGAGAGACAGTCTCACACTGTTGCCCAGGCTGGAGTGCAGTGGTACAATCATAACTCGCTACAGCCTCAAATCCTGAGCTCACGCAATCCTCCTACCTCAGCATTCCAACTGGCTAGGACTAAAGGTCAATGCTACCATACCTGACTAATTTTTTACCTGACTGTTTGCTTGGCTGTTTTGTTTTGTAGAGACAAGGTTTCCCTATATTGCCCAGGCTCTCCACGGACCCCTGGAACCCAGCTCCTTGCAGACTCTCTCTGAGGCAGGCACATCTTGCTCCTGCCCACCATGTCCTCTCTACCTGGAATGCTCACCTCCAACCAGTATCCTCCTCTACGTAAAGCCCAGGGGTTTCTTCTTCCACTCTGGCCTGCAACCTGCCTTCCACATATTCAGTCGGGCGGGGGACCTTGCTCCATGCTCGCTCCCACAGCACTGCTTCCTCTGTCACAGCACTGAACACCCTAGGGTTACTTTGGACTTTCTTAAAGGCAGTTGAAAATTGCTTATTTGTTTGCTTTTTAGAGATAGGATGTCACTATGCTGCCCAGGAGACAGCCTCAAACTCCCGGACTCAAGAGATCCTCCCACCTAAGCCTCCCAAGTAGCTGGGACTATAGGTTCATGCCAGCATGCCCAACCTTTCTACATAACTATCTTCCCCATTAGGACTGGGAGCTCCTTGAAGAGACAAACCATGTTTCTTATCCCCGCAGATCCAAAAATCATGAATGAATGATGAATAAACTGATGTGGATGCTGAAGGATACCTTATGAAATTCAGTTAATACCGTTACTCACTTTATTCACAAGCAATAACAAGTCGGGTTTGGGAAGATAAAGACAGTCAAAGTAATTCATCAGAATACTCGACTGTGGGAAATGACAAAATGAGAAGCAGAGATGGCAGGTGCTTAGTAGGGACTGGTACCTTTCCCAGTGTCATGGTATTGCCCTAAGCCATGCAATTTGGTTTACCAAACAAGACAAACTTTCTGCCAGGCATAGTGGCTCACACCCGTAAACCCAGCACTTTGGGAAGCAGAGGCAAGAGGATTGCCTAAACCCTGGGGCAACTTAGCAAGACCTCGTCTCTATAAAAAAAATCAAGAAATTAGTCGGGCGTAGTGGTTTGCACCTGTAGTTCCAGCTACCTGGAAGGCTGAGGCAGAAGGATCACCTGAGCCCAGCAGGTGGAGGCTGCAGTGGCCATGAGCATGCCACGGCACTTCAGTCTGGGTGACAGAATGAGATGCTGACTTAAAACAAAACTAAGTTTTCTATTCAGCTGGAATCTCCCGAGATTCTGAGTAGAACAGACTGAACAGAAGCGTGAAGAACCTAACCACGGTATTCACTGAACACTTCTGGTTACTATCAAGATTCACCGCAAATGTTCATCAAACTTAAGTTTGTTGTCCTAAAGTCAGAGAAACATAAATGATGTGCTCCTTACCTTGTTTGGTGATCTGAAAAGTCTTCTTACTGCAAAGGACAACAGCCTGCAGCATTTCATGAGGAGAAACATGTGCCTTGAAATTTCGAGGGTTCCAGAGTTTTCTCATCAGCTCTCCAAAACGCTGGACCAATAAGAACATGATATCCCCTGGAGGACGTTTGATGTTCTTGTAATTGTCTTCCTCTAGGAAGTAGTTCCGGAGAGGAGGAACGTTGGATAGAGCCTGGAAATCAAAAACTCCAATTAACCCAAGCCTTTTTGTAAGACCCCTGAGAACCAAGCTTTTCCAACCAGCACTCTTCTAGCAGAACCTGGTGATATGCCCAAGACAGACTCACAGGGTCAAAAGGAAACAGACACTCAGAGACTTCTACACAGAGCTCACACTACCGAAATACCCTTCACACTGATTTTGATATGAAGCACAGCTCTGCAGACACTTTCCTGATGTGGATATTAAAAAAAGCTATTTAAAAAAAAAAAAAAAAAAAAGGATATTGAGCAACACATTTCACAATTGCAAAGTTGCAGAATCAACCTAAATGCCCATCAGCTGATCCGTGGATGATAAAAATGCAGCATACGTATGCAATGGAAGACTATTCAGCCACAAAAAAGAATAATAACTTGCCAGGCTCGGTGGCTCAGCCTGTAATCCCGCACCTTTGGGAGGCTGAGGTGAGTGGACTGCCTGAGCCCGCGGGTTCGAGACCCACCTGGGCAGCGAGACCTCATCTCTACAAGAAATCAAAAAATCAGCCGGGCGTGGTAGCGCGTGCCTGTAATTCCAGCTACTCGGAAGGCTGAGGCGGAAGGATCGCCGGAGCCCAGCAGGTCGAGGCTGCGGTGGCCGGGAGCGGCCACTGCGTTCCAGTCTGGGCGACAGAGTGAGACTCCAACTCAAATAAAAAAAATAAATAAAAGGAATAATATCTTTTGCTGAAACTTGGATGCAATTAGAGATCATCCTGAGTGAAGTCATATAGGAAAAGAAAACCAAGTAATGCATGTTCTCACTTATAAGTGGGAGCTAAGCGAAGGGTCTGCAGAGGCATATAGAAGAGTATAATAGGCACTGGAGACTCAGAAGGGGGAGGGGAGAAAGGGAGGAGGATGAGGGACCACATATCAGGGACAATGTACACTAGTGGGGGTGACAAGTACACCTAGAGCCCAGACTTCACAGCTATATGTTATATACGTATCATTTTTAGTTCACTGTCATCAGAAGCATCTGGATGCTGATGGCAACCACTTTGAGCACCTCTTGTAACTGCAGAAGTCAAACGTGACTTGGATTCATCTTTTGTTATAGTTTTATAGTTATACTCATTTTTGTTACAGTTTTTTCCTTTCTTAAAATGTGCTTTTGGCACCCTCTGTATACACGTTTAGAATGTATACACTATCACTAGGACAGAGTACCAGGGAAGGAAAGGAATGTAGCTTTCACTTGGTAATTTATACATTTCCCCCCCCAATAAGCCTATGTTTACATTTGTAATTTTTTAATCAATTTTTTCTTGAAGTGGGATTACTGTTTATTGTTTTATTTATCCAATGTTGTTTTTTTTTTTTTTTGAGTTGGAGTCTCACTCTGTCGCCCAGACTGGAGTGCAGTGGCCGCTCCCGGCCACCGCAACCTCAACCTGCTGGGCTCCAGCAATCCTTCCGCCTCAGCCTTCCAAGTAGCTGGAACTACAGGCGTGCGCTACCACGCCCAGTTAGTTTTTGATTTATTGTAGAGATGAGGTCTTGCCAAATTGCCCAGGAAGGTCTCGAACCCGCAGGCTCAGGCAATCCACTCACCTCAGCCTCCCAAAGGCGTGGGATTACAGGCTGAGCCACCGAGCCCAGCTTTAAGGTTTTTCAATTTCTCTACAATGTGCACATATTTAGAGAAGAAAAAAACTAAGAGAAAAAAAAAAAAAAAACTTTTAAGGCTGGGTGCAGTGGTCCACTCCTATAATCCAGTATTTTGGGAGTCTGAGACAGAAGGATCACTTGAGGCCAGAAGTTTGAGGTCAGCTTGGACAACATAGCAAGACCCCATCTATACACAAAATTTTTTCTTAAATTAGCCAGGTCCCAGTTACTGAGGAGGCTGAGGCAAGAGGATGGCTTGAGCCCAAGAGTTCAAGGTTACAGTGAGCTATGATGGTGCCACTGCACTCTAGCCCAGGCAATAGAGTGAGACCTTGTTTGTAAAAACAAACACTTTTAAAACTGAAAATAGGACAACTGGCTTTCTGCTTTTCCCACTATAGGAAATGTGTGGCAGGAATAAGTCATCAGGCAGCCAGCACAACTATACAATTTTTTTTTAATGCATCTAGCATGTTTATTTGATACTGCCAGGCAATACAGATTCTACACCTCATTCTCTGGAAGGTCTAGAGACTAGAAGCCCAGAGAATGGAAAAAGTCTCCCCATTTAACAGCAGCCCTTTGAGCAGACACAGGAATGCTCTGCTTATTGTAGAACATTACTCAAATAGAGTCCTCGACAAGACTCAGTGCATGGGGACGATTTCACTATACTCTACAGGAAGGAAATTATTTTTTGGCCAACACACATACTATTTCCCAGGTTACTCGATACTGTCTTAATCCTACCTGAAGGACAGCGTTGGCATAGTCATTGGCCTTTATGTTATTCAGTCCCACGATACCCGGCAGGTAAGTGGTACCATCGTATGCCCGGGACAATTTGGCTTGCTTGTCCAAGTTTGCAATCTGTTGCTTTGTGAAAGTGGGCTTCAACACATACTGCAAAGCGAAAGAAAAGTCTAAGTTGTTTAAGAGCCAGAAACAGAGTTCACAAGATAGGTCCAGAACAGCAATTTCTGCAAAGACAAAAACACTTTGTTCGTGAACATCCCACCACACACCCAAGAAGGCCCCCAACCAGAGGTATAAAGACCAAAGTAACCTTGGGTAGGTCCTCTCCACATGACCAATCTACAAGGGGATCTTTGGTTTTACACAAAATCACTGATCCCCTTAGACCTCAGGACTGGTCAACTCCATGATAACAGACTGCCAGCAACTACAGGATACTCACGTCTGAAGGCAGCAGGAGTCTGCGTCTCAAGCAGAACCTCACAAGAGCAACCCATGTAGATAGTGCAAGAGAAGAGCCACTCCCCTTTCCGTGGGACTAAGAATCCTTATGACTCTCTGGGACTGCAGGGGCAGGATCAGACTCTTCCCAGGCAGAGTTAATCAGAGTCATTATGTCACACACTGGACAGAAGTTATCATGAACTCACTTTGAAACCTTAAATTCGGCCGGGCTCAGTGGCTCAACCTGTAATCCCGCACTTTGGGAGGGTGAGGCGACTGGATTGCCTGAGTCCGTGGGTTCGAGACCCGGCTGGGCAACTTGACGAGACCTCGTCTCTACAATAAAATCAAAAATAGCCGGGTGTGGTAGCGCGCGCCTGTAGTTCCAGCTACTTGGAAGGCTGAGGTGGAAGGATCGCCGGAGCCCAACAGGTCGAGGCTGCAGTGGTCGGGAGCAGCCACCGCACTCCAGTCTGGGCGACAGAGTGAGACTCCAACTCAAAAAAAAAAAGAAACTTTAAATTTCTCCCTCTGTAAATACTGTCAATAATTAATTGTTAATAGGTCTACAAAACTTTCTAAAGTGGAATAAGCAGTATTTCAGACTCTGAACACCTAGCTTTCCTTAACATAAACAGAGCGCTCAGCACCATGAATACACACCACTTACTGGAAAGCAAAATAATACTCAACAGCCCAACACTAAACAAAGTCCAAGAGGACCTTCCGTGTTCTCCACTTAAGTGCAGTGAATGCCTTTTGGTACAGGTCACAAACTGGAACCCCCAGATGAGACATGCTGGATGTTCTGGCCACATTCCATGTCAGAAGTAACCAGGAGCTTGTGTGCGGTTTGGTATCACTATCCCATGCCAAGCCCAACTCACACCCAAAGTGTGGAACAATAATCTACTTCACAAAAACACTCGAACCCCAATTAGGATGGAGCCATATTTCTTCAGTCCTAACCCTCAATGTTAAAAGCAGAAATGATGGCTAGGTTGCAGACAACAAGCTGTAATTACGAATTCTGACCACCTCCTCAGTTTCCCTGGTTCCTTCCAAAGGATTGAGATTCTTCCATGACCTCAAGTGGGGCAGTTCCCTGGGATGCTCACAAAAGATGGACCCCAAACCAGCCCTCCTGGACACATACTGTGATGTCCTCCAGTGAGGAATCGATGATCTCATAGTTGTCTGGAAGGCAATAAAACTTGAGGGTGTGGAGGTTGAGGAAGACATGGTGGCTGAACTGGACGCTGTGAATGTAGGCATGAGACTTCAAACCCCGGCCTGTAGAGAAACATGAAAGGCTGTGAGAGCAACGCAGATCCTAGAAAGGCATAGACCAGGCTGGGTTTGGTGGCTCAGCTTATAATCCCAGCACTTTGGAAGGCCAAGGCGAGAGGATTGCCTGAGCCCGCGGGTTCAAGACCCACCCGGGCAACTTGGCGAGACCGCGTCTCTACAATAAAAAAAAACAAAACCTAGCCAGGCATGGTAGCGTGCACCTGTAGATCCGGCTACTCAGAAGGCTGAGTTGGAAGGATCACCAGAGCCCAGCAGGTTGAGGCTGCGGTGGCCAGGAGCATGCCACTGCCCTCCAGTCTGGGCGACAGAGTGAGACTCCAACTCAAAAAAACAGAAAGGCACTGACCAGGTTTGCTTTTCTATCAACATTTTCTATTGGGACATGACATAATCCATCAGCAAAAACAAGGTATCATGCCATTCATGAAAAGAACCTCTTACATGAACTTCTCTCATAGAAATTAGCAAGAGAATTTCTCAGTTTATAATCCTGGCACATTGGGAGGCCGAGGCCAGAGGACTGCCTGAGCCCACAGGTTCAAGACAGCCTGGGCAGCTTTGCGAGACCTCATCTCTACAATAAAAAAAATTAGTCAGACATGGTGGTGCATGTCTGTGGTTCCAGCTACCTGGAAGGCTGAAATGGAAGGATCACTGGAACTCAGAAGGTCAAGGCTGGGGTGGCTGTGAGCATGCCACTGCACTCCAGCCTGGGCAACAGAGTGAGACTCTGACCCAAAAAATAATAATAATAATTAGCAAGAGAGAACAGCCCATTAGTTACTTCATTTCCTAGACAGTGTAAGACATTGGTTGGGGAAACAAATGTGAAAATGAAATGTAGGCCAGGCTCAGTGGCTCAGCCTGTAATCCCTGCACTTTAGGAGGCCAAGGTGAGTGGACTGCCTGAGCCCGCGGGTTCAAGATCCGCCTGGGCAACTTGGCGAGACTTCATCTCTACAATAAATCAACAACTAGCCAGGCGTGGTAGCGCACACCTATAGTTCCAGCTACTTGGAAGGCTGAGGAGGAAGGATCGCGGAACCCAGCAGGTCAAGGCTGCTGTGGCCAGGAATGGCCACTGCATTCCAGTCTGGGTGACAGAGTGAGACTCCAACTCAAAAAAAAAAAAAAGCTCTCTGGAGCAGACCTTCAGCTAGTTCTGAAAACCTAACAAGTCTGTAATTCGCAACACTTATTTATTTATTTATTTTCAAACATATTTTTATTATAAAATTGTGGGGTACAGTTAAGGGTTAGGTATACAAATGTGCATCATCCAGGCACCCGTGTTAATAAGGGGTGTCTCCCCATCCCCAACATATATTTATTTACCTTGAAAGTATTTGCCACACACCAGACAGGCGTAAGCATTGATATGTGAGAGGGAGATAGAACACAGTTTCTCAAAGTCGAAGTCCAGCACACTCCTAAGAGAAGCAAAACAGAAAAAAAAAAAAAGCAGTTAATAAGGATGAGGCTGGCTCAGGAGCTCATACCTGCTGTAATCCCAACACTTTGGGAGGCCAAGGCAGGAGGACTGCTTGAGGCCAGGAGTCCGAAACTTCAGTGAACTAAAATTGTGCCACTGTATTCCAGTCTGGGTGACAGAGAGAAAAGGAGACTCTGCCTCAAAAAAAAAAAAAAGAAACAGGTGTGGTGGCTCACGCCTATGATCCATCCCAGCACTCTGGGAAGCCAAGGTGAGAGGATTGCTTGAGCCCACGGGTTCAAAACCAGCCTGGCAACTTGGTGAGACCTCATCTCTACAATAAATCTAGAAAAATTAGCTGGGTGTGGTGGCACACACCTGTAGTCCAGCTACTTGGAAGGCTGAGGTGGAAGGATCATCTGAGCCCAGCGGGTCAAGACTGCAGTGGCTGTGAGCATGCCACTGTACTCCAGCCTGAGCAACAGAGTGAGACTCCAACTCAAAAAATAAAATAAAATAAATAAAATAAAATAAAACAAAACACAGTTCCTCAGCTAGGCCCAGTGATCACACCTGCAACCCCAGCACTTTGGGAGGCCGAGGCAAGAGGACTGCCTAAGCCGAGGAGTTCAAGACCAGGCTGGGTAACATAGCAAGAACTCATCTCTACAAAACAATAAGAAAAAAAATTAGCTGGGAGTGGTTGCATGTGCTTGTAGTCCTAACAACTAGGGGAAATGAGGTGAGTAGCTCACCTGGGCCTAGGAGGTCAAGGCTGCAGTGTGCCATGACTGGGCCACTACCCTCTAGCCCAGGCAACAGAGGAAGACCTTGAGTCAAAAAATAAAAATTAAGGCTGGGCACAGTGGCTCACACCTGTAATACCAGCACTTTGGGAGGCAGAGGCGAAAGAAATGCCTGAGCCCAGGGGTTCAAGACCAGCCTGGGCAACTTGGCTAGATCTCATCTCTACAATAAATAAAAAATTAGCCAGGCATGGGCACACTACTTGTAAGGCTGAGGCAGAAGAAGCACTTGAATCCAGCAGGTCAAGGCTGTGTTGGCCATGAGCATGCCACTACACTCCAGGCTGGGTGACAGTGAGACTCCAACTCAAAAAAATAAAAATTAAAAATTAAAATGAAAAATAAATAGCCAGGCTACTGAATAATAAATAATAATCCCAATACTTCGGGTGGTGGAGGTGAGAGGATTGTCTGAGCCCAGGGGTTCAAGACCAGCCTCAGCAAATTGGCAAGACCTTGTGTCTACAATAAATCAAAAAGTTAACTGGGCACTCCAGCCTGAGTGACAAAGTGAGACTCCAATTCAAAAACCAAAACTAGGCCAGGCGCTGGTGGCTCAGCCTATAATCCCAGCACTTTGGGAGGCTGAGACAAGAGGACTGACTGAGCCCAGGGGTTCGAGACCAGCCTGGACAAATTGTTTCTACAATAAACCACAAAAACTAGCCAGGCATGGTGGTGTGTGTCCATAGTTCCAGCTACTTGGAAGGCTGGGGTGGAAGGATCACCTAAGCCCAGCAGGTTGAGGCTTCAGTGGCCACGAGTGTGCCACTGCACCCTAGCCTAGATGACAAGAGTGAGACTCCAACTCAAAAAAAAAAACAACAAAAAAGGAAACTAAATAAATCTCAGTTCTTCAGTTGCACAAGCCACTGAAGCCACATGTGGCTTATACCTACCATAATGGACAGCCCTTATAAAGAGAAATTTCATTACTGTAGAAAAATCTGTTAGACAGCATTACCCTAGAACATGGGTTGAAAAGCATTCTAACAAGCCAGCTAGGAATCAGAGGAAACAATACAATGATGAGGTAAACTACCTAAGCTTTCAAATAAATTTTTGTGTTTTTTTCTGCTGAATCCCAAGTACCTAGAATAGTACCTAATATATAGTAGGTGTTGGGAGCCGGCCACAGAGGCCCACTGAGCGTTAGGGATCAGGAAGGGCCGTTAACCCCGAGACCACTAGGATGCGCTCGGGAGCTACTGACCCCATTTCCTCCTCCTTTCTACTCAGCACTAACCAGATTAAGCTCCTGTGAGCTCAAAACATAAAAACTCTGAGACCAGGACGAACACAAGCTAACTCTAGAAGCTCACTGCTCCCATTCTTCCACAAACTGCAGTTTTGGTTTTCACATAACTTACAATTCAAACTCAGGTCACATCTAAGAGCCTTAGTATTGGTCACAGGCTTCTGGGTCATGATTAGGATTTATTGAAGTTGAATAAGGTGTAAATTGTAGAATATAGTTTTAGAAGACAGCCATTTTGTTGAAAGAATGCGGCTGAGTTACTTGCAGGTAGCCCACTGTGAACTTTGGACTGGGCCACATTCCAAACATTCTGGGATGGGCCACTTTAGTTTGTAAAGTAAGTACTTAAGTCTCTATAGAATTGTTTAACTTGGTATTAGTACGAAAAGGGTTTACAGGCAATATGAAAAGGGTTTATAGGCAGTACGAAAAGGGTTTAAAGGCAGTCATGGATTAAGGTTTCATGGATTAGGTTTAACATCTGTTATGGGTTTATACCTGAAAGAACATCTGGTGGGTAGGGAACGCCCCTCACACACCTGTATATAAAAGACCCGTTGTAATTCCCAGTAAATGGTTTCTGCACTAGACAGAGGTCCAGTCTCTTTCTTCCTTTCTCTCTCTCTTTCTCTTTCTTCTTCCCCCCAATCACCGATGCCGTCTCCACCTTTGGGGTACCCTGAACCCGGCTGGAGCTGGACTCTGGCAAGTAGGTGCTTGATAAATATTTAAATTTGCTACTGTTGGTTTAAGGATACTACACATCCTGTTATTCAAACAGACTAATTCAAGATGAGCTAAAAGTTCTTTATCCCATGCCCACTTTTCAACAGCATGTGCTGACACTTCTATAACATGTACTCTGCCTCTTTAAATTGAAGAACCAAGACAAACATGGTAAGAAACACAATTTTCTAAGCAGAGAGCTTTAAGAGGAGTAAAACTTGTAAATGTGCCATTCAATGTACATTCCAAAGAACTTTCCACATAGACTCCCTAGTTCTTTTGCTATCCTCGGCATCTCTGCCCCACTGACCTGTTAATGGTATCCAGGTATGGGCAGTGGCGGCTCCTCCGGTCCTCAGAATCCACTCGGCCATTCTTCGCTGAAAGGAAAACCAAAGGCTTTGAAAATGGAAGCCTGTACTCAAGGTCAACTCACAGTACAAAGAAACTTGGAAGTGAGAAAAACTAACCCAGACAAGAAACCCAGACAAGTAAGAAAAACTAACCTATTTTTCAGGTGGCAACAATATCCAAAAAAAAAAAGTCCACTAATGGAACAAGCCATGAACTGGGAAAACACATTTGGTATATATATAAAAATCAACAAACGATTCACCTGCATATTACATAAAGACGTCCCATAAAAGCATGAAAAAAATAATTAAAAACGAGTGTCATCAGTCTTCTTCCCAGTGTATTTACCATGTAATAAATTTACCCTTCCAAAAAAAAGTATATTGTAAATACTAAGATAAACTGAATGCAATGCAAAAGTACTGAACAGTTAAAGGAGAGTGTTCACACATACCAGAAAATTACAACTTGTCAAAAACTGTGAGTGGTATGAGGTTTGGCCTTACTTACAAGCTAACAAGTTCAAGAATGCTAATAGAAGGCACGTGACTGACTATTGGGTCTGAAACAAAGGACAGAGTACTACAGCAATAGCAGGAATATAGCACTGCTTTCCAAGTAAATTCCACAGGACAACCCCTGGAGAGAAGCCATGGACACAGTCAGTTGCCTTATAGGAAAACTCTGAGCTTAGAGAACCTGAATCTTTTTTTTGTTTGTTTTTTTGAAATGGGGTCTTGCTAAGTCATCCAGGTTGATCTTGAGCTCCACCTCGGCCTCCCAAGTAGCTAGGACCACAGATGCATGCCACTAAGCCAGGCTCCAAATCTCTTCTAGTAGATTTCGAGGCTCTCCTTTGCTCTGCAGGGAGCCACCATGCCTGTCTTCCAAGGCAGTTTACCACAGAAGCATCCTTGACCAGTCTGGAGCAAAGGCAGTCAACCACTGGTCACAACATGTGCACAATCTGGAAAGGCGAAAACTGTCTCCCGATGCTCTTCAGCTTAAAAAGTGGATACAGGCCGGGCGTGGTGGCTCACACCTATAAATCCCAGCACTGTGGTAGGCTGAGGTGAGAGGACTGCCTGAGCCCAAGGGTTCAAGACCAGCCTGGGCCACTTGGTGAGACCTCGTCTCTACAATAAAACAAAAATTAGCCGGGCGTGGTGGCACGTGCCTGTAGTTCCAGCTACTTGGAAGGCTGAGGTGGAAGGATCGCTGGAGCCCAGCAGATGGAGGCTGCGGTGGCAATGAACGTGCCCCTGCCCTCCAACCTGGGTGACAGCATGAGACTCCAACTCAAAAAAAAAAAGTGGATATAACCAGCGCAGGTGCCACTCTGGAAAGTCTGATTTTGCAAATCACAAGACCCCACACCTTAGAGATTTTGTGAAAAACTGAAGGAAATAATAACAGCTGTAAGATCAGCACAGCAGCTGGCCCACACTAGACATTCCTCAAAGAGAAGCTACTGCTGTTAATATTATTAGAGGCCAAGCATGGTGGCTCACACCAATCATCCCAGCACTTTGGGAAGCCGCAGTGAGAGGACTGCCTGAGCCCACGGGTTCGAGACCAGCCTGGGCAACTTGGTGAAACCTTGCCTCTACAATAATAAATAAAAAATAATTAGCCGGGCATGGTGGTGCGTGCCTGTAGTTCCAGCTATTTGGAAGGCGGAGGCAGAGGGATCGCTGGAGCCCAGCAGGAGGAGAGGCTGCGGTGGCCGGGAGCATGCCACTGCCCTCCAGCCTGGGTGGCAGAGTGAGACTCCCACTCAAAGAATTATACCTATATATTGCTAGAAATTTTGTGACTACGGGCCGGGCGCGGTGACACGCACCTATAATCCCAGCGCTCTTGGAGGCGAAGTGGGAGGACTGCCTGAGCTCCGGGGTTCGAGACCCACTTGGTCAACATACCGAGCCCTCGTCTCTACAAAATATCCCCCGCAAAAAAACGAGCCGGGCGTTGGGGCACAGGCCTGTAGTGCCAGCCACCACCTAGAACGCTGAGGTGGGAGGATCGCCAGAGCTCGGGGTCGGGGCTGCGGCAGCCGCGACCAGGCCACTGCACTCCAGTCCGGCGACAGAGAAAGACCTCGACTCAAAAAAGAGAAAAACTGCAGTGACGACTCGCGAGCCCGGAACGGAGTCGCGTGTGGGTCCCTCCTCCCCAGCCCCGGCCCCGCGCACCTCGCACCTCCCGCTCGGGCTCGGAGTCCTCGTCGGCCTCG